AGCCAGCGGGGACAGCGCGACAGCGGCGGGGACACGGGACCGGCGGGGACACGGTACCAACCAACCGGGACAAGATACCACGCGGGACCTCCCCGGGAAGGGCAATCTGCTCGTCTTTGGTCACGCCCCAGTGCCAGCGGGGGGGCAGGAGGGCAGCAGGGGAAGGGCGGGTGAGCGGAACCCTCGGGATCCTTTTCTAGCTCGCTTCACCCTTTCCCAAAATTGAACTGCTCTTTAATTTCCTCCTTCCACTGCTCTTCCACCAGAGCCGCCCCCAGCAACGGCTCCCGCAGGAACCGCCGCCCCGGGACGTGGTTTTAATTTTGCTGCCTGTTTTTTAAATACCCCGGGAGGTGCCACCAAGTGCAGCGCGACGTGGGGATGCAGATTGTGAACCGGGTTTGTGGAAGTCCTGCGTGGTATCTTGGCAAGAGAAGCTACACAGGGTTTTTTTTCTCTGTTAAACATCACAGTGCATTGAACTGTTATTAGTAAAATAGCTCTCAAGGTTAAGGGGGGGAAGCAACTCTCAGTAGGAGGAAGCTGAAGTTTCAGGTTCAAGCTTCGTATTCCTATATATATATATATGGTGTTTATATATATATATATATATGCATCTTTTTTCAAAACGTTTTATTAGGAAAGCTATACCAGACGCATCACTGTACAATGATTAAACATTACCTTTACAATTTATATTCACTTGAAATTACAGAATAAATATATGCACATTGCTGTACCTCGGTGTGTGTGTGCGTGTGCATGTAGGTGTGTATGAGAGAAAACGTTAAAAGTGCTTCCTACAAAGCTGTTAGTGATAGGTGCCCAGTAGTTTTTTGTTGCTGTTGGTTTTCCTCCTCCCTTTTCTGTGTATTTGCATGTGGATTTTATTGGGAAAGTGCGGATGTCCTCCCGAGAACCGTGGCGTCATGATGAAGTGTCACTGAGCATCCCCTAGGTGTGCGCGCCACGTGGTGACATCTTTTGGGCTGCTGGGCTCTGGGTGGCTTCCCTCAGCCCACGGGATTCCCCTCCGCGGGCAGCGGGACCCTGCTCCCGCCTTGCGCGGGGGCGGGAACTGCGCGGAGGGGCCGGGCTGGCAGCAGGGGTGGCGGTGAGGGGCGAGTGTGCGTGCGAGGGAGGGAGAGAGGCAAGAGTGAGACATTCGAGCAAGACCCTCCTCTCCCTTTCCCTCTTGCAGTTTCCAGGCATGCAGCAAACTGCGCTCGTTTGCTTCTTTGCATTATTATTATTATTATTTTCTTTTTTCTTTAAATAAATGTACAGAATCTGTGCCATGATGGGCAAGAAGAAAGCAAGCCACGAAATGCCACCTTCCTTCCCCTTCCCCTCCAAGGGAAAATATAAAGGAAGTTTACTGCAACAGAAATGGAAAATAAATACGAAAAGGAAAGAAAACCAACCAACCAAACAAACAAAAAAAAGACACACACAGAACTTAATCAGGATCAATGCAAAGATCCCCGGTAATAATAATAATAATAAGAATAATATACCTTAGACATGGCACAGTCAAAAGTCTCAGTTTCAGTATAAAAAAATAATGATTGATTAACATCTGCTGGCAAAAGTCTTGCGAAGGCACTTCATCGATCAGTGGTCTGAGAGCGGCCCTTCCCCGCCGCGCACATCTGGCGGGGAGAGCGCACAGCTGTATCCTCTGCTCGCAGGCGGCGGGGCCGGGGCGGGCGGCGGGGCGGCGGTCAGAACCGGTACGTGGTCTTCTCCAGGACTTCGAGGTAATCCGGCTTGGTTTGGAGTTTGGCCCTTAACTCGAGGTATTCGCTTGTGGGGGTTTGGTGGTCTGAGAAGCCCTTGCCGGCCGCGAAGAGAAGGGTTTCTTTCAGCCTGGCGTCCTGCTGGAGGTCCGGGTATTGCATGCCAGGGGGGTGGACGTGCAGTTCCTTCAACTTGGGCACGGTGCCGTACAGGCAGTCCACGAAGCCCACGGAGCAGGGCGGGGGGCGGTCGCGGTCCCGGGGGGCACCTC